TTTTGAGTACTTGAGTATTTTAGTACTTTTTCACATATTACTTTTAAGAAATAGTAGCCAGTGTGTAGTAAGCAATACACTAATATTCTTTTTTTAACATTAAGGGCCAGATCTACTACCGGTAAGCAGGCCAAATTAGCATGAGAGTGAGAGTGCAATCCCATAAAAGTGCCCATGGGAGTGGAAAGTGCTGCGAGTGATCTACTGATGACGACGTGCACATTAAAGAACACAGACAAAGCCGGATCATTTCCACAATGACCAACACAATCTACCAAGAGCAGCACAAATAGCGTCTGGTTTAAAACATGCTTTTTTGGGGTGGTAAATAATGGTGCAAATACCAGTAAATTGGCTAGCGCAAACCTTAGTAAATCACATGATTCATTTAAATACTCTCTGAAATTTGCGTCTGAAAGGGAAACTCCAACAAATGCATATGCAATAAGGTCAGCCGCAAAATAACGGTGTCCACGCCTGTTCAGCACAAATTTTTCACTGCGTGTTGTAAATCCTGACAGTAGTATGTTTTACCGCCAAAAGAGGGTTTGCGCTGGTGCAAGCTGTTAGTAAATCTGACCCTAATTCACAAATCACCTCATGTATTCAATTCTTATGTTTTTCAATCCACCTGTGTTAAAAAAAAAAAATAAAGAAAACACTTGAGAAGACTATATAAAAACACTGACATAGTTTCAAACTTTCCAAAAATCACTATAAGTCCTTTGTAACAAAATGGGGGGAAAACATTGGAGTTTGGACTGCTTCAAAAATAAGCATCAGGACAAGATACTGTGCAAGTGACCCAGAGGCCGTCTACAACCCTAAAGGTGATGATACTGCAGTGCAGGGCAACTTTTTGAGCAATGTTGCTGGGCATTGTTGCCGTCAACGGGCAACCAGATGAGACACAGGGCCCACGACCGACCTAAATTATCCAGATAGAAATGTAATGTTTTGCCCATTTTCAATGGGAAAGTGCCCAAGCAACAATCGCTCGGCAAGATTGCCCAGCAACATTGCTCAAAAAGTTGCCCTGTGTATCATCACCTTTAGAGCACATCTCTTTGGCTGAAATGGGGGAAACTGTCCAGACTTCAATGATTTCTTTGCACTTCACAGAAAAGCTCACTTTTGAAAAAGGCAGAGAATGTCATACTGATGTTTGCTAGACACCATGAGAGAGAACCTGAAATATATATATTTTTTTTTGGTCTGATAAGACCTACTTGGCCTCAAAACACTCAAATCACATGAAGCCCAACAAGCAGTAATTCCTCATGGATCTTATTCAAAGTAGATGCCGCATTAAATTGTTCGCAAATGAAAGCAAGGCTGTCTTTTAAAAATCTGAAATACCTTCTTCTAGTATAACGTTTTGTGCAATGGAAAGGTTCCATGGATAGTAAAGGTTCTTTTAAAGTAACAACAGGTAACTTTTCAACCTTCATAATATATTTCCAAGTCTCTTGTGATGGTACATCGACTTACAATAGGTTGAATGACACGTCTGCCATAGCCTGACGGGGTCTGTAGCGTTTTTAATCGTACTTTTAAACTTCGGGTTTCGGGTAGTAACCGGCGAACAAAGAGAACTACAAAATTCGACTGCTTTACGGCATATACGTCACTTCCACCACCACCCCCACTTCCTTAAAATCGGACTTGCGAGCCAAATGTTATAGTCATGGCCGAAGCAGCACAGAAAAACAAGAAAGCAAAGGTTTTATCGGAGCAAAGCAAAAAGAGAAAAAGAGAAAGTGATCGCGTTAAAGGCAGAACGAGGATCAACATTGCAGAGCTGCCAACTCTCACGCATTGGCCGTGAGACACCCGCATTTGATTGGTTTCACACGCTCACACGTACGCCACACCCCCGGTTTCTCACGCTAAATTGTCAACCCGGTCGGTCAAATGCCTGAAAGATGAGTTTATCTATAGATCTACCTGTTGAGCCACTCGTGATCGACAAGTTATACCGCAAATTAGTTCAAATCTCCCGGAATCTAGAGCGAGCGCGCACGCGAGACAGAGACTGTGCTCCAACGCGCGCGGACGGCAGAGAGAGAAAGCGAGCGAGAGACCTTGCGTGTGCAGGGAGCATCGAACGCCCCATCGAAAAAAGAATGCCTCTCTCTAACCTCTCTAATTCGCTAGAGTAGTAGCGAATTATCAATCTGGTAGCTAGTAGACGATATTCTAGTTTTTGATGGTTAGCTATCGCTAGTATTCTCGTTCTGATTTGAACTTTGCAATCGATGAAATGCAAATAGCAAATGTTTGACCTAAAAAGTGTAGTCTACTCAACATGTACAAAGAAAGGAGGAAGATTATTAATAAAATCATATTTTAGGATACCTAACATGTCTGTGATATTTGTTTATTTGTCTTGCCTCAAGCTATAATGCAAATCGATTTGTAAAATTTGCAGATTCATTTATGGTAGCTTGATATTATAATATTGACGATATATGGTTATTATCAACCACTCAAACATTGCATTGAAGTATCATATAGATCCAGTAAAACGGTAACCAATAGACTAGGCTACTATAATGACGCTGGCTTGTAAACGTGAGCATCGCGATCATTTGTCGTTAGAAAAAAAATAAAACCCATGAAATTATATTCATATGACATGCTGAAATATATGCCACTGTACCTGGGATGAAGACATTTCACACGCGACGCAAGCAGAACACCTGCATGTGACCTCCTCCTACAGTGTTCAGGGCTATCCTGGTTGTCAACAATTGCACGTGCATGTAGGATGACAGAGTTTACGACAGTAGTAGAGGACAATACTGTTTCCCAACTGTAGGGGGAGCCCGAGAGCAAAAAACGACCTGTTGTTACTTTAAAAAAAGTATTTAAAAATAGTATATTTTTAAGAGTGTATGCTGTGTGAAGCATGGCATTATCTTTCTATGATCCAAAGAAACGAAAAGCAGGTCACAGGCACTCAGTCAAGTTTTCAATGAGGAGAAGGATAAAACTAAAAAGCCTTTATTTAGTACTATAAAGGCTTTTTAACTTTATCCTTCTCCTCATTGAAAACTTGACTGAGTGCCTGGGACCTGCTTTTCGTTTCTTTGGATCTTTTCCCTACTCCAAGAGCACCTATCACGGATTTTATAACTTTACCTGGTTGAACCTTTTACAGTTCATCTTTCTATGATTGTTGCCATCAAGGCCAAGGGCATTACAGATGAGGCCTATTACAGACAAATATTTGAGGAGAAACAGTGTCAATCTGTTAAGTTGAGTTCATGGAATGAAAAATAACTTTTCAACAGAAAAATTACCCATGAGGACAAGGAAAACCGGTACATAAAAAGGAGGTTTGTATTCTGCAATGGCCCAACCAGACTTGAATCCTAATGATTGGCTTATTTTTAGACGGACTATTTTCACATTTTCTACACTGATTTTGAGGGAAAAGATCTCTGGATTCTGCAGAAAGGATTTTAAACACGGTAAATGTGTAAAATGAAGCTGAAAGCATTCTTGCCGATAGCTGAAAGCATAATCAAATTTGCCAAAATATTTAACACACAAACATGCAAGGGGATTTGTTGAATTTTGGGAATGGCAAGAAGTGTTACGATACTGCATAATTATGCAGGAAAAAAAGGGATACAAAACAAACATTTCTAAAAGCATAAAGTTCTAAATAAATAATTCTTGATTTTTGAACAATTCATTCAAAAATAATTTATATTCTTTAACAGATGAGAAATTGTATCAATTTAACCAAATTTAGAGGAGCTAAACCAGGAACAAAATGTTGGGCACTGAAGACTTTATCACTTGTGTACACACAGACATGTGTCCATGTGACGTCGTGACTTAAATTAAAACAGCGTGCCATGAATTCAAACGTATATTTGGCACCAAAACATTACAAACTATGTCAGAGCTGAAGCCTGTGACGTTCACAAATGTGGGACTAAGGTCATCTGGCACCAAACACTACCACCCATGTGAAATCAGAGACCACCAGGATCTAAAGTAGGGGAAAGGGCAAATCACAAGTTTCCATGCCATGTCATAGCCTAACCAAAGCCATTTTTTAGGAATGCAGTATTCACTGACACCATCTGAAAAGCCAAAAGGTCATACCATGACACGGGTGCCTGCCTACACAGTGTTTATAAAAATTAAAAAAGATGGTATTTCTACATTTATATCACATTTTCGATAGCAAGTTATTTACTGTACAAAATCACGGAAACAGAGTTATAGGGAAATAAGAAACTGTTACTATGGTAAAAAAAAAAAGAAAAAAGTTGAGAGACAGCCTGGGGACACAACTCAACTTTATTGTTCACTAAAATCTAAATATATATGTAGGTCTTTATATTTGAATTGTTAATCATAATGAACATTTCTGCTAACAAAGCAAGGAAAATACTGAATGTATAAATATATGAAGCCTAGCCTATGTATGGTGTTGGGGTGACGCATTACAAGCAAGGAGAGTTACGTAATCAGATGACTTTTTCAAGTAACGAATTACTTTTAAAATGACAAAAAAACTTTTGTTTTTACTTTTTCAAATAAGTAAAGCAAGTTACTTTGTTTTCTGATTTGTAGAGAATTTTAGAGTAGGTGTAGAGCCTTTGTGTGCGGTGGATCATAAAAGGATCATCTCACTTTTGGTGTGAAATATGAAATAATAATTTCACTTTAGGTGTGTAAATGGGAGTTTATATTTGCCAAAAATGTAACTTTTGTTTTTAGCCATTTATTTTTGGTATTAAAAACAAACAAGCAAGCCCAACCCAGGTGAGAAAAAGTAACCTAACATGTACTTACCATAAAACGTAACTATTAGTTACTTTTTTAAAGGAGTATAACACAGTATTGGTTGCAAGATTACTTTTAACCCCCAACACTGTATGAAGGACACAAACTCCTTTTTCTCTTGGAATGACCCCAAAAACAATTACATACATACAACGATGAAATATTTGAGTATGAGTATGATGAGTATTTACCCTCATATGTGGGCTGTCACTAATTTTTGAGGATGCGAACTCGATGAGATCTGCCCTGAGGTCCACCAGAAACTTCACCCCTCCCTGAACCTTGCTGATGTGCGTGAGGAGCTGTCGGTACCGAGGTGTTAAACTGTACCGTAACCTGTCCTCCACCTGGAGGATCGTGGCCACATCCCGCCCCTGAGTGTCCTGCAACTTCGCAGCCAGATCCGAAGCCCATCTGTGATCTACCCCGAAATCATGAGACAACCTCTCGAGAAAATCAAGTCTTTGCTCTTTCTCTAAACTCTTGTAGAAGAGCATAAACTCCAGACTGTTGGATTCAGGTGGAGGTGGAGATTTGTCTCTCATCTCATAGGTGGGCAATGGGACCACTGTCTTTTTCAGGATCTCCTCCATGCTATTGTGCTCTGCGATGGAAGTGCATGGATACATGTTTCTGAACTCCCACGCTCTGATTCCCTGGACCGTTTTTAAAACAGCTCTGTGTCGATAATACTTTAGCAAAGAGCGCGCGGCTGTAGTTAAGTGGAAAGGTGTCATTGCGCGCCTGACAAATTCGCACCAGAAATAAACCTAGTATACAATGTTGAAATGCACATCTACTTCCGGGATCTCTTAAAGGAAACGCGCACAATTGTCAAATGCATGACAGTCCAAAGTACAATTTATTCTGTGTGATGATGATCCTACAAACTCACAAATTTGAACAAAAAAAAGACGCTATAAAAAATTATAACACTAGTAACCACGGCCCAGTTGTTCAAAAAGTTTAATCTGGATCAGATTGATCTGGATTTGGAAATCCCATGTTGTGCTATCCAGGATCAGGTATCCATCTGACTTTTTTGATGGTTTTTCAAAGCAAAATTGGATTGGATCACTCTGAAAAACCCACTTCAAATTAAATATAATAATTTTGTTTGATATTTGCATGTGTTTGTGTATTATTTATGGCACCAAAATCTCTTGTTTACTTCACTGCTACCGAAAGGATATGTCCACTTCTAATGTATTACTTTTACAGTTAAACTTGCTATCAAGAGCAAAACAAAAATGTGTGTGTGTGTGTGTGTTACCAAAATAGTCTCTGGTATTACTTGATACAAATGTTATTTTTTGACCAGTCTTAGTTTTATAAAAATTTTGTTTCTGAAATCCACCCTTCTGCTGGGATCATCTTCATTGGAACAAAGGTATCCCAATTACTAAAAAAACTTTTGAACACAAACTGGTGATTTGATCCAGATCAAAACCAAGATTGGATTTTGTGTTTTAATCTGATTTCAGAATCCCTTTTTTTAACAACCTACTTTCAAGATTTGATACAATCTGATCCGACAACGTTTGAAAACCTGGGCCAGGGGATTAAATTGAGATTTTGAAGGGTAGGAAACCCTGTTCCCCACTCCCCAGCTAAATTATTTTAGTAAAAGTAAAAATAAAAGTAAAAAGTAGGCTATAGCAAAAATAAGTAAATAAATAAATTAATAAACAAATAAATTATTCTATAAAGTTATTAATTAGAAATTGCCTTGTTTGAGTATTTAAACATAACGTTTCAGAAAACTTGTCATAAACAATTGTCTTTTTTATAGCTTATTGTAATTGTGATTAATCAACTGGTGAAGTATTATTACTAGCCTGCCCTATTCACCGTGGTGTCTTGCCTTTAAAAAATCGGACCATGACAATGATATTTTAAGACATGTATAATTGTACTATAATAATTCATTACATTATTTTAATAGTTATTGTCCGGAGAAATCACTCTTATCTTTCTCTGAAGAGTGTTTACTTGCGGAATCATGTTGTTTCTGTGACAGGAGAATAACCGCGGTGTGTTAGCCAATAAGAAAATGTATAGACGGCTCTCTAAAAAAATCAACCAATGGCGTGAACTTGAGGCGGGAATACCTTTTTGCCTGACCAATGGCAGACGTATTTGGGGAAACCTGTTTGGAAAGTTTTTTTTGGCGCAAACGCGTGCACGTGCAGCAGCTTTTATACTGTACACTCTGAGAGCTTTCAAATTCACATGAGACTTTTTTTTTACCGATTTTAAATGATTATTTGTTGAACCAGGTAATTTTACAACCATATTTTAAAGATAGGATTAACTGGATTAAAAAATACCCACGACATCAAAACCTCAAACCAGTGGATCGTCTGTATGATAGGAACCACGCGGATTCATAACAACTGCACAATATACGGATTTGCTGGTATTACATTAATGGTTACTGATTTGATTCACATGTCAGAGCTAAATTCCGGTTTTAGCATACTAATTCCATTAGTGAATTTTATCTTTTGTGAAGTTTGTGAACCAATTAAGACACCTGATTTGCTTTCATATCAGGTTGATATTATAAAATTGTTGCATTTCTGATTGGTATCAACATTTTAGGAATGACAGAGGGCTCTGTGAAAGCCATGGAAAAAGAGTTGAATGATAATCCATGCTCGAGTGAAGATGCATTTGCGTGAGTACAGCTGTTATTAAAATTACATCGCACCTTTATACATCACCAACAAATGTTGCACTGCATGTCCAATCACATCACATCCCCAAACACTTGTCCAAATGTTCTGTAGGCAAGAGAAACTCTTGTTCTTGACTTCCTGACATCCTGTAATTGTGCTCTCTTCAAATTCACACATAACCTCTAATGCATCTATGAAGTCTGCATATGAGTGTACGACTAGGCTAAACATTTGTTAGTCAACTGAGAATAAGCGCTATTTAATGGCAACACAAACAACAGCTGCGAATTATTATACACAGCGCTGCACTTTGCAGCACGAAACGCCTTTCGTGTTACTGCGAAAGATGGAGACAAATTGAGCCTCCCAAACAAATGATGTGCACCAGAAATCGTAAATCTAACCAAGTGTGAACTGAGTGCCAGAGAGCTTGCATTCATTATTCAGAGAGTTGTACTCCATCTTCTTTATGAATAAATTATTTTACTTTGATATCTAATGCATTATATGAGCACGCTAACACCGGGGACATCCATCCGTCTCTGGCATTTGTAATTAATCTGATGAAAGACTTGGACACCTGTAAGTGTTGCTGACAGCATCCTGTTGTGACGAAGCCTGCTGGCAGACTGTCAAACACTCCAGTGAAGGGAGAAGTTTATTTTTAAAGCCATTATATGGATTCAGATCTCATGAGCATCGTCTCATCTATTCCCACCCCTTTTTCTTTTCTCATATATGCTTGTCTTTTGTCTCAAATTCCTTTCCTCATCCTTTGTGTTCCTCCGCAGAGTAAACCCAAAGAAAAAGAAATCAAGGGCCAAAGGAAAGGTGAAGTCTCAGCGTGAAGGGAAGGAGAAAACGCACAGGAAGGTAGTTCTTCAATGTCACCATTAATTTTCTTTCGTCATGCCCCTGGGATTCTCTCAAGTCCAGCTTAATTAAGAGGCCCTGTTAGCTTTGCTGTAAAGGAATATTTATGCAGTCATATCATTCAGAGCTTTCAGCCTGTTTCATAGGTTACAGGGACCCAAATATAACAAGAACGGACTGCTACACAGAGCATAACCTAAAAGCGTTTAGTCAGCGAGCAATCAAGTCTGTGATCTGGATGACAGATTCGTAGGTTACGAAAACATAGATGTAACAAGAGTAGACTGTTACGCAGGGCAAACAAGGCAATCTTCCCATTTCAGGGCGGTTGGACCAAACCACTCATTATCTGTGAACGATAGTAATAGTATGTTCTCTAGTGCAACCTACTTCCAGCCATGCAGATATTTTTGTAGTGGAATATGATTCTCCTTGACAGCTTCGGGCGCCGGTTTGGCCTCAAGTGATCTAGATGGCTTTCCCTGATAGCAGGTTGTAAGCCATTGATTAGACTGGGCTTCCATGTGGTGCGTCAAACCTACAAATAGCCCTTTTTTCCCTCTGCACCTTTACATTTGCATAATGTGGCTTCTTCATCTCTTTGATATTTCCATGTATTGCCTCTTCTTTATTTATTAACTGCCACCTTAATACAGTGTTTTACTGGTTCTTGCACAGTGGAATGAGATGGAATTGTAAAGGAATGTCCTTGTCAAGTCAGTAAGTAGGTTGCTTGGAACTTATTTTTTATTTTTATTATTTAATTTGTTGGGATGTACATGAACGAACACACACACACACACACACACATACACTCACCGGCCACTTTATTAGGTACCCCATGCTAGTAACGGGTTGGACCCCCTTTTGCCTTCAGAACTGCCTCAATTCTTCGTGGCATAGATTCAACAAGGTGCTGGAAGCATTCCTCAGGGAGTTTGGTCCATATTGACATGATGGCATCACACAGTTGCCGCAGATTTGTCGGCTGCACATCCATGATGCGAATCTCCCGTTCCACCACATCCCAAAGATGCTCTTTTGGGTTGAGATCTGGTGACTGTGGAGGCCATTTTAGTACAGTGAACTCATTGTCATGTTCAAGAAACCAATTTGAAATAATTAGAGCTTTGTGACATGGTGGAAGTAGCCATCAGAGGATGGGTACATGGTGGCCATAAAGGGATGGACATGGTCAGAAACAATGCTCAGGTAGGCCGTGGCATTTAAACGATGCCCAATTGGCACTAAGGGGCCTAAAGTGTGCCAGGAAAACATCCCCCACACCATTACACCACCACCACCAGCCTGCACAGTGGTAACAAGGCATGATGGTTCCATGTTCTCATTCTGTTTACGCCAAATTCTGACTCTAACATCTGAATGTCTCAACAGAAATCGAGACTCATCAGACCAGGCAACATTTTTCCAGTCTTCAACTGTTCAATTTTGGTGAGCTCTTGCAAATTGTAGCCTCTTTTTCCTATTTGTAGTGGAGATGAGTGGTACCCGGTGGAGTCTTCTGCTGTTGTAGCCCATCCGCCTCAAGGTTGTGCGTGTTGTGGCTTCACAAATGCTTTGCTGCATACCTCGGTTGTAACGAGTGGTTATTTCAGTCACTGTTGCCCTTCTATCAGCTCGAACCAGTCTGGCCATTCTCCTCTGACCTCTGGCATCAACAAGGCATTTCCGCCCACAGAACTGCCGCTCACTGGATGTTTTTTCTTTTTCGGACCATTCTCTGTAAACCCTAGAGATGGTTGTGCGTGAAAATCCCAGTAGATTAGCAGTTTCTGAAATACTCAGACCAGCCCTTCTGGCACCAACAATCATGCCACGTTCAAAGTCACTCAAATCAACTTTCTTCCCCATACTGATGCTCGGTTTGAACTGCAGGAGATTGTCTTGACCATGTCTACATGCCTAAATGCACTGAGTTGCCGCCATGTGATTGGCTGCTTAGAAATTAAGTGTTAACGAGCAGTTGGACAGGTGTACCTAATAAAGTGGCCGGTGAGTGTATATATATACAGTAAGGTATTTTTTTAAGAAATGTATACTTTTTTTCTGCATGGATGCATTGAATTTGATCAAAAGTGGCTATAAGAAAAACGTTTACTGTGTTGCTAAATGTTTTCCAATAAATGCTGTTCTTTTGAACTATATATTATTCAAAAAAGTCACTGTTAAAAAATATATTAGGCAAAACAATTACTTTCAATATTGAT